GGTTTTCAGGCTGGCTGGCGACTGAAGCTCCCAGCCTCTCCTTTTTTTCTTTTTTTCTTTTTATTCTGGGAATTATTTACCTTCTATAATTGAAACTTTGTTGCCATCACTGCTGATAGCTGGCTCCTACCCGCTCCAGCTCTGAGGCCACAGCCTGGCTGAAAGCAGGTATCTGGAGTTTGTTTGGCTTCCATAATGGAAACTTTTGTTGCTTTTGGAGCTCAGAGCCAGGCCACGTCAGGCGGAGAACCTTGGCTTCCTCCATCACTGGAGCAAGCAAACCTCCTGCTCGCTTCAGCTGCGTGACTGCCGGCCACCATCTTTGTTGGCAGTTAATTTGCATATCTCGCTGATTAGCCCATGGGAAGCGTAGCGGAGGTATGGTTAATTACCCTTTTTGTCTTTTATTAGATAGGATATCCACAGACTTAAACATGGATGATATTAATGAGTCACACTGTCAAGGTGCCAATCACAATCTGTTTGAGCTGCACAACACACTGTGTCTTGTGAACACAACCCTGGGAGTGGTGGTCTGGGTTCCTACTGCTGGAATGGCTGTTTCAAACACCCACTATCAACTGAACCAACTGAAATCTTCAGCCGCCCTAATTTGACACCTCTGGCGAAGATCAGACATTGTGTAATTGTTAATGACTCTTACAGGAGCTGTATACATGCCACTTTGCAGTCTCAATAACATATATTATGCTGTTCACATCATTTTAAACACCCATTATGGACATCCTGTCACATCCATCTGTTTTAAAAGTACATTTGTTTTGTTTTTCTAATTTTAACAGTTATATAGGAAATAGTGTTGAATGTGCCATTGTATTTTGTCATAAGACAGAAAAGCCATTAACACACTCAACTGCTACTTGTCAGTAAGGAAGTGTGTATTGTGGCTGAGGTTAAAATCACTTGTCACATTTAAAACACTCAATTTTTCAAGTCCTTCAATCAATAGGTATAGTTTTTCAAGTAGAAGTTGCTATGGCACCACTCTAGTGGATGGATTTGTGTTAAAGGCCTTAAGAAAGCAATGATTCTTTAACCTTCGCATGTTATTATAACACTGAGCTGTATTGGCATTTTAATTGAAAGGTTAAAACCTGCTATCATTACACATGCACGGTCTTTATTTTGTAACTAAGCAAGAAGTAGAAACAAAAAAATTACTCTGTGTCAGAGGAATTTTTGCATAATTAATACATATGTTTCAACTACATTATCACTACCTGAATATTAATGTTTCTCTAGAGTTGTTTGATTATTGTCATGGATAAATATCTAGCTAACAATAATAAAACACAGCAAAACATAGGATTTTATCTTTGTTCAACATTAATTGTATGCGATTAAAATGTACCCATATCTATATCCATGTAGAGATCTAAAATTCTCTGCCTTTAAGTCAAAGGAATTTAATATTACATTTAGAGCATGGTACTGGCATAAATTATGAACTCATTTAGCAATCATCCATTTTAGTAAAACAAAAATATGTCTGTTACTTAACTATAATTCATCTCTCATAGAGGAACATAATTTAGAATTTATAATAACTCTATATTTTTTCTTTTAAAAGTACATGATATAACTAATAGATTTATCAACAGCCAATACTGAATTCCATCTCAGTAATAATAATAGTAAGAGTGATTGTTACTGTTGCCAGTGAAGAAACCTTAGACTTAGTTGGTCTAAATTGCTAATGTGAAGATCCAGGAAAACAGCACACATTTAATTGACCATGTATGAACATCCCATAATTTCTTTACAAAATGCTTGTTCTCGCAACATCCATTTTACTCCAGCTCTCAAATCCAACCTCAACCTGGTCCCATCTAACCATCTGCTCACATTCTATTTCAAAGGCATTTGTGGTCTCGATTCAGATATTCTCTCTCAGGGTGTCGATGGACCACTGCCTCATGGGTCAGCTTTGGGAGTGGACTTTGCATTGGTTCTAACCTGTGCAGCTCCAGGAGTCAACTTTCAGATAGACCAGGATGGGCAAACTATGTGGTTCTTGGGCCAGATCTCACCTACCACCTGCTTTTGTAAATTACACTTGATTGGCACAGCCACATCATTCCGTTATGTATTATTTATGACTCCTCTCCTGCTACAGTGGCAGAATTGAGTAGCTGCAACTGAGACCGTATGGCCCCCAAAGCAGAGAATATTCGTTATCTGATCCTTTATAGAAAAAGTATGCCAGCCCCTGATGTGGGCATGAGGTCAGTGGCAGCCGTTAGACTTGGGTTGTAGAACCAGCCTGTTAGAACAAAGAATCCGCAGGTAGCTAATAGTTTTCCCTCACCACTAGTCTAAGTGACTTCCAAGAAGTTGATAGAATTACACCCACATGGACATATTGATCTGTCTGTTTTGAGATGCAGACTGGCACTGAACCAAAAGGCAAAATATTTAGTTATAATTTCACAGGGATTTCAAAGCCATGACTCAAAAAAAAAATGGTAAGAACCACTAATCCAAAGGTCTAATGTGACCTTACTTTCTTACTATGGCCCAAAGGATGGAACGTTAATCGTAGGAAGGGTTGTCTTATAGATGCTTTCTCTTCCTCTGTGTACCTGTGAGAGCACACGCGGCAGCGTGTGCCCACTGTCTGTGGCTCTGCCAATCTCTTGCTCTTGGCATCGGCAGCAGGTGAAGAGCAAGTCCCTGCAGCCGGGCAGGCATGTAGAGCCAACACTGGCTATGCTCTCACGCTTCCGCTGAGAAGATGAATATCGTGTTCATCTAACTGCACAGGTGCTGCACAACGTGCTGTTACAACCCCCGAATCTGGCCCTTCCTAATCGCTATTTTTCTCTTCTGTTTCATAGTCAGATGCTAACCTTGTGCCTTCTGACTCTTCTGTTTGCATTTTGGACATTCTTTGGCAAACTGTGGTGTGCTCCTGTCTCCCGCCCTCAGGGGTGTGTTGAGAATGAGGCTGGAGACTGGTGAACTATTCGCTGTGCTCCCCAGGCTGAGAGGAACAGCCAGGAAGCCAGGAGGATGTCTGTTCTTGCCACGTCCTGACAATCGTGTGTCCACTCACCATCTTGCATGTCCTGTCTTTCTTACCAGACATTCTCCCAAAGTGGTCAAGGCCGCATCTCAGGTCCTCAACAGCATGTGGCAGTACCGAGACCTGAGGAGTCTCTACAAAAAGGTAAGGTTTGCTTGACCCTCTGGGCTCATGAGCGATGCACAGCCCTCAGCCAAAGGACACTATAGCTGGTCCTAGCACGATGCATCCTAGATATGGAAGTTACTTGTCCCAACAGTCTGAGTAATGGAAGCAACTGAAAGGGAAGAATTGATGACCAACCAGAAGAAACGAGTCACCAAGTGTCCCCTGGACATACACCAAGACCCAGGAACTTTCTGGATTGGACAGATCCGCACTCCTAGGGCCTTAGCCTAGCTCTTCTGACAAGAAACAAAATAAGCTTTTTCCCCCTGAGCTTCCATATTTTTATGATCAACTAAAAATTAATGAACTAAGGGATTTTGTAAAAGAAATTTAAAAAAAAAACAACAGACAAACAGCAAGCATCAACAAGTACTTGTGGAGAGGAGACAGAAAGAAATAGAAAAAACAAGTCAGGAAGTCCAGGAACACTGGGTGGAAGGCCCAACAGTCTGACCCGTGTTCCCAGCGCAGCCCTCACCTTGTTGTTCCACTTATTAATGCATTCATTGGCTGATTCTCATAAGTGCCCTGACCAGGGATCGAACCCCCAACCTTGTTTACTCATGGCATATTAGGGGGTCTCTCTAACCAACTAGTATTTATCAATCAGGTGTTATCTGAAAAATGTAAAAAAAAAAAAACAACAGACAAACAGCAAGCATCAACAAGTACTTGTGGAGAGGAGACAGAAAGAAATAGAAAAAGCAAGTCAGGAAGTCCAGGAACACTGGGTGGAAGGCCCAACAGTCTGACCCGTGTTCCCAGCCCAGCCCTCACCAGGTTCCTGCCGCCAGCCGGCCATGGAGCGTGAGGAAGAAGCTGAGTGTTCAGTGCCCTCTCTCAAGGCAGGCAGGAAATTTTTTAAATACATTTCAAAGAATTCTTCATCCCCAAAATGGTTTACAAATAAAACCTGAAGAGAAAAATGTTGCATCTAAAAACTTAGATTCTATACCTCATTTCCAAATGCTACTAAAAAGGTATGCATAGCTTCTCTTTTTTTTGCTTAGGAGGGGAGAATTCTTTAACAAGGTTTCCCAGAAGTTGTTGTTTTGTTGTAACCAGGCCAGCAAACATGGGTAGTTTAAATGACTGGTGATTGCACAGTAGGTTTGAGTTAACAAATAGGGGAGGAAAACATCAGTGATTTCTGCGGGGACTCAGAAAGCATAACCTGGGCTGGAGGAGAGGAATGGGCTTCCATCGACAACTGCCCCCGTGCCTCCTTGCAGCCCCTGGTGGCCGGCATGGCTGAGGAGCAGGAGAGAGAGCCCCCATGTCTTCGCCTGCCTCCCCAGCCTACCAGTTCTGGGCTGGGGGTGATGTTCAGCAGCAAGAAGCCCACATCAGAGGACACAAAACCCATCTTGCCAGAAGGAATATTTGTCCTTTGTTAAGCCGATGGGAAAATATAAATACTTAATAACTGGCTCTACTTACGTATAGTCTATTTCTAGATTTCCCCAAGGCCTTCCTATTTCCCTTAGGGGTTCATACTTGCACTTTAAATTTATGAAGTTTAGCCTATGTATTTCCTTTTCAAGATTTTCTTATCCCCTGAGAGGAAGCTGAAACAGAGATTGCAAAATGCAGTGTGAAAGAAGCATTCTAGATGAATTATATCCACTCCTACCGAGTATGCATATTAGGGTAAACCAGCGGTTCTCAACCTGTGGGTCGCGACCCCTTTGGCGGTTGAACGACCCTTTCTCAGGGGTCGCCGAAGACCATCCTGCATATCAGATATTTACAGTATAATTCATAACAGTAGCAACATTATAGTTATGAAGTAGCAACGAAAATAATTTTATGGTTTGGTCACAACATGAGGGACTGTATTTAAAGGGCCAGAAGGTTGAGAACCACTGGTAAACCCTTCATCTCACATGTTGTGGGTTCCATTTTGGTTTGCTCATATCCCAGCATCTCTGGTAACTGCCTTCTCAAGCCCCTCCAGCAGCCGAGTGAATTCTCTCGCAGGACAGGATCCTTCAGGTAAACAGGCAGCGAGACTTAGAAGGACTTGCCATAAGTTAGAAAGGGGCCGGTCATTCTGAATCAGTGGTTCCAGAAGCTCCGAGAAATATTAGTGCCTCAAATAAACTCCACTCTACCTCTGATCTTTTGTTGAAATAATCCTTCTGGTATGTGCATTGGAGGGAAACTGCTTTGGGAGACTCAACAAGTCACTTGTTCTTGAGTAGTATGAGTTTTCAATACTACTTTCTTTTTCTATGTCAGTGGTAGAGTTCAAAAAGTATCATTGTTTTTCTGTTTCCATGTTAAAAAATAAAAAAGAATGTGTTGACAGGAATTTAATGGAGCTAAAACTTGAAAGTGAAAGATGGTTTAAAATGTGTTTCATGCGAGGAGATTTGAGAAGCATGAGCTGGAGAAACTGTCAGTGATGTTTTTAATTGACCTGTGACGAAAAAGGATGGAGAAGGAGCTGATGTTAATAATTCTCAAGTTACGCAGATGTGAAAGGAAGTGAGGACCTCTGTGCTCAGTATCTTAAGTGCTGCTAATAGCAAAGCTCAGCATTCACAAAAGCATTTCTTTTGGAAACTCCCATTTGGGGAGAAAACCGAATTCATTCATCCTCGGGAATTGTTTTTATTCAGTGGGGGAATAGACCTCTATCTTGTTCTTCTTTGACAATTTTCATATCATTAAAAAAATGATCCATATCTTCTACTTATCTGTGCATCAGATCTATTTGCTAAACACCTAATATAGACTTAGAACAGGCAGAGTTTCAGAGAAAACACAAGAGCTGGAGAGTAGCTACCCTGGGTGAAAATGAAATATGGAATAATTATTGGCAACTTTACTCAGTTTGGAATTGTACACCACAGACGTTAAAGGATGAATTAAGAGTAGGAAAATTGTCGAGCAAAATCTTTAAACATTCATGGAGTTTGTATAAATTGGGAGAAAAGAGGTGAGGGCATTAAGGATAAGAGGAAAAAGATGAGTGAATACAAGAAATTTGAAATGAAAATGGCAGCCCTAACCGGTTTGGCTCAGTGGATAGAGTGTCGGCCTTCGGACTGAAGGGTCCCAGGTTCGATTCCGGTCAAGGGCATGTACCTTGGTTGTGGGCACATCCCCAGTAGGGGGTGTGCAGGAGGCAGCTGATTGATGTTTCTCCCTCATAGATGTTCCTAACTCTCTATCCCTCTCCCTTCTTCTCTATAAAAAAAAATCAATAAAATGTATTTTTAAAAAATGGCAAATCTATGGGACAGAATTAAAGGCCCATCTGTCCCTGGCTTATTTCTTCCTGGGACCCAGACAAAGGGGCTGGCATCTCATTTCATGAGCTCAACTCCTTCATTTTACTTAGAGATGTATTTAATACATCAAAGTATTCTTCTGGCCGAGTGTGTTGACCAATACAAAATAATGTTCAATTCCTTAGAGCAAAAACATATTTGTGTTATCCAGACCTTCAACTTCAGGGAGGCCTGGACTTTGGGTTCTCCCCGAAGGGAAAACAAGAACAGGAGGATATTATCACACACCGTCTAAGTAATGCATTGCTTTAGAAAAATAAATAAATAAGCCAATCCCCACATTTAGATAACCACAAATAGAACTTTAACATTTCCTCATCACCTGTGTCATTGCAGAAGATGTTTTCTAAAGGAAAAGAAGATGAGCCTTAGGAACAGGCCTGACATGGGGATAAAAGAGAATCAGGAGATCAAAAGTTCTTGACTTCTTTGAACCTTGGTACCTTAAAAAATGAGGCCACTGACCTACTGGAGTACCTATGTTTGACTATGTTGAGTACTGTTGGGACAGCGGGTTTGGGAAGAAAGCAGATAAATCTTTCTTTTGGGGGGGATGGACATAGAATTATAAAATTACAGAAATCATTGCTTACAATTCCTGATATAATACCTTAATAATCTGTACACGTCTAAAAAATAGTTATACTCATCTGAACACAGCATTCTAGCAGAGGGACTCAAAAATACAGAAGCCCAAGCTACACAGGTATCTCTTTCCATACCTGCTTAGGCAGGTGGCCTGGGACCAGTGTGTGATCCTGGGATTGCCCTGTTGCTTTGCCTGGCATGGGGGTGCTGTCCTTGCCTGTGTGGGCAAAGCTCCCTAGCCCTTCCCCCTCTCACTGCAGCCCATAGGAAGGGAGAGGGGAGAGAGGGCAGGTGATGACCTTTTAAGCAACTGGTACAAAAGTTGTCAGACTCCTGCTCACATCCAGGACCAAGAACTCAGTCATACCACACGTCCTGCTGGGAGGGAGGACGGGCAAGGTGGCAGCGAGGCCTTTGTGGCAGGAGGAAGGTAGTTATGTTACCAGAGGCAAAAAGGCAGTATTGGCTCCAGACATCATTTCATTTTGTTCAAATACCTTTAATATCAATTGCAATTACTACCTAATGAGGCATATTATTCCATTTCAGAATGGCTGTGCTTATTCAGAGCTTCTTACTTGCATTAAGCAAAAATTTTTATCTGACGCTTCTGCCCTTCAACACCATTCTGCAAAAGTCAAATTTCTCTTCCTTCTGAAAGCTTTACCCGCTGTAACATAGCCATCCCATCCCACAAGGCCGGCCCTTCCCAGGCCCGACATGCTCAGCTCTAATACACGGGCATAGCCATGGCCTTCACCATTGTGTTCCCTTTTTCCCACATGGATGCAAGTTCAACAGCACCCCTTCTGCAATGTAGCTCCCAAAATGAATCTGTCCCTCCAAAGGTTTTTTTTTTAATGTATTTTTATTGATTTCAGAGAGGAAGGGAGAGGAAGAGGGAGATAGAAACATCAATGATAAGAAAGAATCATTGATTGGCTGCCTGCTGCGCACCTCACACTAGGGATCGAATCTACAAGCCAGGCATATGCCCTGACTGAGAATCGAACCATGACCATGACCTCCTGGTTCATAGGTCGATGCTCAACCACTGAGCCATGTGGGGGTGGGACCCTCCAAGTTTTT